AGGGACCTCCCTGCTCAGAGCAGGTAGCTCAGGAATGTACCCCATCAGTTTTTTAATACCTCCAAGGATGAGAACTCCACAACCTCCCTGGTAACTTATTCCAGTGTTTAACAACTTTCACAGTAAGTTGGGGTTTTTTTCTTACCTTCAAATGCAATTTATAGTATTTTGATGTGTTCATACTCCTCCCTTCACTGAATACCACTGAGGAGAGTCTGGGTCCCTCTTCTTCAGACCCTCCCATCAGGTATTTATACACAATGATAAGAGCCACCAAACCTTCTCATCTCGAGGCTGAACAGTCCCCACTCTTTCAACCTCTCCTCATATGTCAGATGCTCTAATCCCTTCAAAATCCTAGTGGCCTTTCACTGGACTTGCACCAGTAAGTCCAGGTCCTTTGTTCTGTGGAGCCCAAAATTGGACACAATGCTCTGGCTGTCTGACCAATGCTGAATATAGGGGAAGAATCACTTCCCTCCAGCTACTGGTGATGCATTTGCTGATGCAGCCCAGCTACTGTTGGCTTCCTTTGCTACAAGGGCACATTACTGGCTCAGGCCCAACTTGCTGTTCACTATGACCTGCAAGTCCTTTCCTGCAAAGCTGCTTTCCAGCCGGTCAGTCCCCAGCATCTACTGGTGCATGGGGCTACTCCTCCCCAGTTGCAGGGCTCTGCATTTCTCTTTGTTCAACTTCATGAGTCTCCTCTTTTCCCATTTCTCCCATCTACTACGGTCCCTCTGAATGGCAGCACAACTATGTGATGTACCAACCACTCCCCATTTTCTGTCCTTTGCAAGGATAGGCTTAAGTTTACACACGCATCATACAAGCTCATAAACTTGTGTCAGCCTCATCAGGGCTTATCTTCTAGTCTGGATATCTACCATGTAGCAACTTTATTACCTATACTTCATGTTAAAGACACCTGTTACTAAGACTGAACTTACTGATACAAGACTCACAGTAACGGCTTGTCTTGTCAGCTGTATCTCTTACTACAGCTGCAGTGACTTGAGCAGCTGAGATATGTCTATACTATGGTTCCTTGTGCGTACTCTGCTGCTTCTCATGTTGAATAGAAACCAGCCTTCTTGCTTTAAATTGCAGTTCTTTAGATCTCTGCTTCTTAACCTTTCTGTCATTTATGGTTAAGCAAGACCTTCCCAGGAGCAGGAGTGTTAATTTATAGCCTTAGGAATTTGGAGCATTATGCAATTATGGAAACACTGATAGCTATCTACAGCAGGTAACTGATTGCTGAAAGCCTAGCGCTCACTTTTTTCGCCAAGCTAGACTTAGATCAAGCCCTGAAAAATAAATCTTGAGGTGATTACTCTTCCCAGGTAGGAGAAAGTCTTAGAACACCAGAGTGAGACTTTCTTTTTTTCCCCTGGACAATCTGTTCTGCAGGAGAAGGAAGTACTACTCAGACCTATTTCATCAAACTACAGCAGTAGCTTCTAATACTTCTCATGGTTTAGGAATAAACACAGGAGCTGTAAAAAGATGGACTTAGCTAATGGATGGATCCAGCTGTAACAGGGTTTAGAAAAAAAAAGTCTGAAGTGACCAACTGCATAGGTATTTCCACATTAAATCTGCAGTTAAATGGACAAAGACTGGTGGCTGAAACAACTAAACAAGGATGTAAGGACTCTGCTGGAGCTTATAATAAATATACTAAAGTAAAGGTCCCAATCATATTTGAAATAAGCCAAAGAACACCAATACAGCCTGCTTTGCCACAGGTTTATTTACAAAATATTATTTACAGTCTAAAACTGTCTTGAGCTCTGATAAATAATAACATTTCCTCCACAGAGAAGGAATAAGACAGACCACCTACACATTTTTCTGTTACAAATACCCTATTCAGCCAAACAAGACTATTCTCTCTTTTAAAAAGGGGCAGAGAAAAATGAGTACCTAAAGGGTTTTCTGTCCATGGCACAAGTAAAGGTATTAAGCAAGTTGGAGAGATGTAAATCTCCCTGTTGAACTGTGCATGTGCAAAACAGCAACATGCCGAGGTTACGTGATCGCACAAGTTACAGCAGGGTGTGCTGCTACTCCCGACTTCTCCTCCAAAGAAAGAAGTACACAGTGAGCTGGTGTTTAAGGCATGAACAGCTGAATTAAAAAATATACCCCTTACCAGCAGCCTTAATAAAGACTGAATAGCTTGTTCCTGTTGTAAAATAAGGAAGACAGAAGGCTGCTGAAGTGAGAAGGAATGTATGCCAGGGAGTGAATGGACCTGATCTCTTTGTGTCTGTGTCCTTGCGCATGTTCCCTGAATGTCCCAGTCTATCTGAACGCTCATCTCCAATCTTGAAACATTATCCACCACCCCCAGCCCGCTTTGTATGTATCCTTACGTTTCCATGTGATACACAGAGGATCTAAAACTCCAGTATGTAGACTACAGAGATTACTTGGTGCTGCACAGAATGGACTACAGAAGACTGGGCTGAGAACAGTTTCTAAGACCAGTGCTCTGAAACGTACTGATGGCTGCTGCAGAGCTAAAGCAGGGGGGAACAGAAATGAGAGCAGGTGGTGTTGCCTCATGAGCCTTTGTTCTGGTGGTTTTGCTTTGCTTGTCCCAGTCACTCATTTGGAAGCAATTGCCATAGGAATGATTCCAAGTGATATCTGGTAAGAATGGGCATTTAGCAAGCTTAAGAGAACAATGACCGATCACTCCTTAAAGCCTTGGATGCTACACAGGATCCTCTTCTGGTGGCCTGGAAGTGACACTCCCATCTGTTTCAAGTCCCTGAAGGAGATGGGAAAAGAAAGGAAAAAATGAATTGCTGTTCTTTTTCCTTAGGCAGACACCAAGCATTAGTTCAGAAAGCTTCCTTTCCCTCAGTGCCTCCTACTACACTGACCTTTTCTCTAGAGGGAAGAAACTTCCAGATGCTCCTGCCCTTCCCTGGCTACCTCTGCCCACCCAGTCAGCTGGCTTCTCCCACCTCATGACTAGGCCTCTGCTCCCATTAAATCAGGACTGTGTCCATGTCAGCTTGTGATATGGGCCATGTGTCAGCCCTTTAGCAGTTCTGTCCCTGCACTGTGCCTGCTCATTTGTTTTATGTAACTGCCCTGGTTGGAGCTGGCTATACATCCCACTATACATCCCCAACCCAACAACAGAACATGGCTGTGTTAGTAAAGCATCTAACCTGAGTCCTTCTGAGGAGCCCAGAAAGACTTTGCTCTATGATAGAACAGTGCCTAGCTGATGGGGGCAGGGGGGAATATCACTAGCTTATCTGGAGTTCAAGGCAAGAAAATTATAAAGTCCTACAAGGGTGGGGAGATGGTCAGGTTAGACAACTGTCTGCCATCTATTTTTTCCCCTTGCTATTTGTGTCTGATGTGAGTTCAGAGCAGCTCAGATGCCTGAACAGCCTCAAGCATGGACAGTTAGCGAATTAAGTCTCACAGTTTGGGCTGATCGCAATTCTTCTGGGCTGATTGTTCCCTTTTAGGGCAAGAAGCCAGTCCACTTCCATCTAACTATATAAAGAAGAAGCCAGTCCACTTCCATCTAACTATATAAAGAAGGACGGAGAGAAGCCTTCCAAGTAAATATAAATGTCTGTTCAGATAGGGCAGGGACAGACACAGCTATTTGTAGCATAGCCTGTGGTGCCTTGTGGGAGCTTAGCTTGCACTTACTCAGCAGTGAGCTCCAGAATGGACTCCATGGTGTCCAGGCCAGCAGTGCGAAAGTTGGAGATGTAGCGCTTCATGCGAATGGATTCCAGCCACTCAGGGATGGACTGATAGGGGATCCCGTCAGATCCACTGCAGCTAGGGAGCCGGAGTGTTACCCTAAAGACAGATAAAACCCTCATTAGCCAGGCAACTACCTTAAATGGCCAGCACTACGAGATAGTAGCTACAGGGCAAGCACCCTTTGCCAGGGCTAGGCCAACTTATCCGCTCTCTGCACAGTGAGGTCAGACGGCCCAGGTCAATGGCTATACCCTCAGTCACCATGAGAGAGAGATGACTACAATCTTCTGCACACAGAGCATTCAAAGTGCCTCTTGCCAGCCTGCATTGCTGGCACTACCTCTTCTCCTGTTGGAGACAGGGAGGTGAAAATCTCCCAGTTAACCTCTCCTCCTCCTTCAGTGACAGCCTGCTTACCTGGGATCAAAGTCTGCAACAGGCCGGAGGAGCTGGGGACTTGAGATGAAATGTTGCAGCTGCGCCCGAATTTCCTGAAAATGAGGCCTCCTCATCCGATCGTGTGACCAGCAGCTCTTCATGAGCTCGTAGAGGATAGATGGGCAGTCTACAGGTGGGGGGAGCCGGTACCCACTCTCTAAGTTTTTCATCACCTGCACAGAGGACAGAGAGAAATCTGGCCAAGAGCAGAGAGTGCGAAAGAGGAGGCAGAGACCTCTGTGGGGCTGGCAGCAGGCAGTTCACCGTTTTGCACAGTGTGCAGTCAGGGAGGGGTTGAGGCAGATTACACGTGTATGAAGTAAGGTTTGGGCAACACAGCAAAGGATCAGGACACCTAAGGGATGTCAAAAAGTGAAGTGGCATATGTGCGTACTTTCAATCCTTTACTAGCTTAGCTTCCATTTGCCATTCAGGGCATGTGTTCATGAGAAGTGAGGAACAAATCATCCTGGCACAGGCCCGGTGAGAAAAGGGGAACCAGACTCTGAGGAATAATTTCAACAGCATGTGCTAACCTCACAGATGTGCTGAACCTAGGAGACCAGACATAATACTACAGAGACAGAGGAAGGAGAGAAAGAAACCAACAGAGAACATTGCCAGACCCAAAGGCCATGGCTGATTTAATCAGTCTTTAATTTGGCTCATTGCTGTTGACACCTGAACATGGTTCAGAGGCCCAAACACTTACTGCCCTTGACTTTGTTGCGCTGATTTTTAGCCGGGAGGGAGACATGGTAGTTATGTGTTCAAAAGAATGTCAAGACTGCAGGCTGAGAAAGATCTACAAAACTTCGGCCCACATGCCTTGTTTATTTTTTTTAAATCACCACTTGAGCTCAGTGTCTGTTACCTCTTGATTGCTCATGTCCCCATATGGCTTGTCACCAAATGACAGCACCTCCCACATGACAATGCCAAAGCTCCAGACGTCACTGGCTGAGGTGAAAATCCGATGAGCAATGGCCTCTGGGGCTGTCCATCGGATGGGAATCTTACCACCCTGTGAAAGAGCAGAAATATAGTGTATCCAGCATGTATCATTGAGTTGTGTTTCTCCAGAGTTTTCAGGCAAGAGGCTTACAAAGTGGTTCAAAGACTGGGCCCACTTCACTTGAAGTGATGTGTAACCACCCCTGGGGAAATTTCTCAAAAGGACAGAAACATTCGTGGAAGGTGAATGACTTTAAGCACTCTGTTCAGTTCAATGCTACGCAAAACCACTGCTATGGGAGTAAGAGCGTGACACCCGTCACAGCCCTACTTTGAATGACACCAGACATTAGAATCACTGGAACTTTCACTGAAAGGCACCTGTAGATGTTTCTAGTCCAAACCCCTGATCACAGCAGGGCTGTCTTCAAAGCTAGATTTAGTTAATTTGAGTCCAAAAGATCAGATGTCTTTGCTTCTCATTTCAAAACCACAGTCCTTCTGAATCTCTTAGCAAACAAAATCAACATGGACTCTAAACAGAAAAGTACCACCTTCTTAATCATCCACACTGTGACTTGCAGTTTTACTGTGGGTTTTCCTCAGAGATTTTCCATTCAAATCTTCCCTCGGCCTGGTGTTTCCTATTGTGAAGGAATTCTGCCATTCTTATCTGGCAGAATCCCAATCCCCCTGAGACTACAGATCATTTACAAGATTGAGAGATTGTTTTTGCATTACCTTGGTTTCATAGGTTCCCTCTGCATCATTCTCCAATATTCGGGAGAGACCGAAGTCAGACACCTTGCATTGAAGACTGCGTGTTACCAGGATGTTGCGAGCAGCCAGATCCCGGTGCACATAGTTGTATTCTGAAAGGTAGGTCATGCCAGAGGCTATTCCCTGCAGCATGCTCACAAGCTGCACAGGGCTAAATTTTTCTTCATTCTCCTGCATGGAAGAAGTGAGAGAAGATCCTGGTCAAGTGATATCGATCTGCTTGGTTTCCAGTTATTGGCCTTATCAACTTGCAAAAGTGGGCATTGGTGAACAAGCAAAAAGGCAATGCTGCAGTCCAAAGGACCCAACAGGTTCTCACTAAGGGACTGGTGGTGGTCTCCAGAGTCATCATTAAGCACCTGCGCTTCAACTACCAAAGGCAGCACTCTGGACACTGAGCAAACTGGATGGCATCAAGCTTCAACTGCTGAGACTGGAAATGTTAGTGAACAGAAAGTAAGTGGATGACTGGATCTTATTTCTACTCTTCTTTTAGGGTCTTAAATCCAGGTCAAGTGCAAGTTCCGGCAGTACACAAGCCTATGACAGATTGGAGTCTCTCACCCGGAGGAAGGTATCCAGCGCTCCATTCTCCATATACTCAGTGATGATCATCATTGGCCTCCCTTGAGGAAGAGAAGAAGGTGTCAGCCTTTTTGCAGTTCTCCTACTCTTGCCTTTCAATGCTCTCCACATTGCCCCAATGCAGAGAACCATATCCAACCCCAGCCAACATCCCTACTTCACTGCCACAGCTGGCTGACCCTCCTCCTAGATCTCCCCCAATGATTTTGTATTCCTCCTTGTGTCACACATATAACCTTACAGCATCCCTTACACTATCCCAGTTTCTCATCCACTCACCCACCCAAGAAGACATCTCCTAACACTGCCTCATGACTCTGTTGGAAATCCATACCTCTCCTCCTTTCCTCATTCTCTGCCATAGGCTAACATGACAATGCCTGTCTTCTCCCAGCACAGCCTGTCTGACAGCGTCCTCTCTAAGAAATGCCCAAGAAATGTGCCAGTTTCTGCTCTCATTCCGGGACTCTCTCTCACACTCTTACTTTTGGTGACAACTCCTTCCAGACGCACAATGTTCGGGTGATTGAATTGCCCCATAATTGTTGCCTCGCGCAGAAAGTTCCACCACTGTGAGTCTGAATAATTTGACTTCAGGGTCTTGATGGCAACCACAATACGTTCTTTCCCTGGGAGCCGCAGGGATCCACGATAGACCTCCCCAAACTCCCCTGAGGACAACCAGAGGCAAAAGGTCACAGATGAACTCGGGAATAAGCAGAAAAATAACAGTGGGGGGAACTGAAAGATAGTGAGAGCAACAAATAACTCACCCTCTCCAATCACATTCTCCATAGTGACACAAGAAACATCCAGTTCCTTAGTGAATTCCAGTACCCCTCTGCTGGGGTCATCATATGGTTGCAGGTCTACATAAGGCTTCAACCAGACCTTCTCTATGGTAAAGGGAAACAAAAGAGCAAATTAACCTGTCAGCTCTTTGGACAAGCTTTGCTGGGCAAAGCTACAGAAGCAGAAGTGAATCCATGGGATTCTGACAATGGCAGTAAACAAATCTACCAAATATACATTGAAGACTAGAGCTGCTATGGGAAGAGGCAAATTACATTATACAATCCATGCCATTGTCTGGTTTGAAACTACTGTTTCTTTTCATTCCAATCCATTCCAGGCTTCTCCCTGGTTCTACTAGCCCTTTGAAGCTCACCTCGATCAAAGCCTGAAGTATTGTAATCTGGCCGTGCCTGTCTCCGACGAGCCTGCCTGAAACATAAGAAGCAGTCTTGGAAATAAAATGGTCTGCAGATAGCAAAGAGAAAAGCAAGACTTCCAGGGCGTCTGCCCTAGTTGGTCAGCAACAGAGTTCAGGGTAGTGCAGAGCAAAGTGGAACCACATACTGCACCTACTTGGTAGAGTTCAGCTAGCAAGAAAATGTGATGCTTCATTTATATTTAGAAAGGGAGCTTTGTTTCCATGCAGGTAATTTTGTTCATCCTTCTGCTAGCTGAATTACAGATTAATTTCTATTTATTTTATGTTTCCTGCACCCTTTCAGTACAATACTTGATCTTCTTAAAACCAAACAATAGCAGCCTCATAGACATTTAGAAAGGAAGTACAACTTTGTATCTGGGTAGAGGGCCACTAAAGTAATGGTATATGGAAAACGGTTTGAAATTACTAGATACATGTGTTGCCCAGATCAGCATCTATAGAAATGATTGTACTGTAACAATATTTTTATTGATCTGTCATGATAACAGTATGATAGTGCTAGATTATAACAAAACTGAGAAATCACCCCATTTTCCTCTGTCCTCAGCAGCAAGCATTACCTTACAGACATATCAATCCCTCCAATTCTGCTAATCGAAATTACTTACTGAGACTCATTCCATCTTGCCTCAGCATGCTGGTCTTACTCTTTTTTCCCTAACTAACCTCTACCTATCCAATATCATGGGAGAAATCAGGGCCTCCCTCCCTTTCTCTAGCTCCCATAGATCAGCTATTCCTACATCTACACCTTTTTCAATACCAAAAATCAATACTTACTTTCGCCGAAAGATGAGAAGTCCCAGAAGCAGCCCAATAAATAGTAGAACTCCAAAGATAATAGAGACTATGACTCCACCAGACAGAGCTCCTGTGTCTACAGAAACAAAGAGAAAGGCCATTTCACTTAAAAGACCAAGAACTATTTCTCTGGGATGTAGCAACCAGCTTCTACCAGCCAACGGTATTAGGTAAGCTACAGCCATTTGTCTTCCAGGCAGCAGAGCCACCAGATTTGAGTCCTATCATACTGTTATTCATGTGCATGGAGCACCTTCTGGTGGGTATTTGGTTGACTCTTACCTACAATCTTGGTCTTCCAGTTGAGTAATTTATCCCTGTGCCTGATTTTCCACATAAATTCCATGACATTTTCAAAAATGAAGAACAGTTGTCCCTTCCCTCCCACTCTTCTCCCCCTACTCTTTCAGACCAGACCATTCTTCCTGCTCAGTAGTTGATTTAGACTATGGCACAGCAAAGACGTGATTTTCCCCAGCAGTCTAACTTGACTCTCCTCTTGTTTAAGAATGTAATTTCCCACTCCCCTTCCATTAGTATCTGGGGTTGGTCCTTTGCCTAATTACCTTGACAGCAGCCACTGTCTCCTTAGGACTTTTGAAACAAGCAAGTACTGACTTATGAACTTGCAGTTTAACATCATATTCTTGCTTTCTCAAAACTAAGCATCAGGTGGTTTCATTTTGTGATTGGACAGCATTCGGATAGTGTTCCCATAACACAGGTTGCCTTCTTCCATTTAGATTCTCGAATTAAAGCCATCCATTTCCATACAGTATATTTGAATTCATCAGAGGAAATGCTAAATGACCTCTGTTGCTCAAGTATGAGTTTTTAAACCTTATTTCCCATAACTTAAAAACCTATTTAAAAAACTTAAAAATACAATAATGAAGTGTTCATGCTCATACCTAATGAGAGTCTACATTTTTTAATATTTTCCCTAAACAGATTTAGGAAAACGTCCAGAAGAAAGAAAATTCCTAAAGAAATTGGTTCAATAAATGAGCAGATTTTAAAGCAAGTAACAGCTTGTGTGACACAGACAACTGGGTCTGGAAGTGTTTCCTAACATCCAGCCCAATGGTCAGCATTTGTAAAGCCTAATTAACACTTGTTATTCTTGCTCAATTTGATGCTGACCCTTCCCACTAAAATTATTAAAAATCACCAGCTTAGTTAAGCAGAAATCAAGAAGCAAAGCTAATGTTCTTTTTTGATAAAATCAAAAAGGAAATATTTGGAAAGTGAAATAATATCTTTTATTAATAAAATGGACAAGCTTTTAGGTACATAGCAATTCTGCAGGAAATTAAGGGATTTAAATTTTTAAATTCAAATTAAAAAAAATTGCCTCTCCCTGCAAGTCTTGTTCCACTAATATCCCTAGACCTTTACAGCAAAACAATGCTTCTAGTATTGTCAAAGAAGCACTCCCACTGAATGAAACCTTGCTGGCACTTCTTTTTAATCCCTGTCATATTCAAAATAGCTTTGTTTTGGCATGATGAGGGGATCAACTTTTTTTTAAAAAAAAAGGGTAATCTTGATGAAAGTATTTTCTAACGTGTTCTTTTATAATCAACACAAGTACACGTTAACTTACATATTTTCCACAGAACCTTTGTGGTACATTATTCTATTGGTTAGAGATCATGTATGTCATCATCATTTGGCACTGTGCCTTCACGAAAATTTTACCAAAAGCTCCTGGTGCCAAAACCAGCCCAATCTTTAAATCATATTCCAATCACGGTATCAGAACTCATCAGCTTTTACACAGTGAACTTAACTATTTAGTTACATTAAGGTATGCCTTTGCTTTCTTCCATGTCCTTATTTCACGACAATAAAACCAGCCTTTCAAAGGCATCATTTCAACAGATGTATTCCTAAAGTTATCCATACAGTCAACAGGAGGATCTGTGAATGTGTGGAATGAAGAGAGAGCAAACTCCGTTACATAAAACTTTTGATAAAGGGGAAGTCTCTGGGTAACCCAGGGCAAGAGGAGGTTGGATGTGAGGCCTGTATGAGATGTTCTTCGACAGGAGAAACGTCTTTTTGTGGCCTCAATAGCTTGGCCTTCTACACTTCATGCTTTGGTGGTGAACATTTTTCAGCAGCCTACACCATATTTTTGGGTAGAGTTACATTCCGAGGCTGGACTACCTACAGTGGAAAAGATAAAGCTGGAAAAAAATAGTGGTGAGGTCCTTTGATTTCTCCTTTTCACTACTAACTTTCACAGAAAAGGAGGGATATGGTAATAATTTTGCTAACATTCAAACTTAGAAACATTAGCCAGAATCAAAATGTCTTTCAGGAGAACTAGCTGAAGAGCTGGTTAAGTTATTTGCCAACAACACACAAACCTGAGACTGATCAGTTCTGAATGGGCAAGTACAAGTGGATTTTATATGACAGCAAGGAAACAGGATAAATGTCTCCTTGTTCCACATTTTTATAAAGCAACAGGCTTGGCCCTGGTGACAAGGAACTCAGGAGTGTGGTGTCTGTGCCTTGCAGCTAGCAGAACACAAAAAGCGATCCAGGTACCACGTGAATACACAATCTGATGGAGAAGTGAGTTTCTCCCAAATGAGATACCAGTGGTTGTCCTTTACCTGGCGGAAGGGTGCGGAATTCCTGCTCCGGGGAGTAGGGCCCAGGCCCGAGGGGTGTGATGGATCTCACACGAAGCAGGTAGGCTGTGTCTGGCTGCAGGTCTTTCAGGGTGACATTTGGCTCAAGAAGGTGCTTCACTGTGTAACGTGCCTCCTCTCCCTGCAGAAATCAAACCGGGTCAAGTAATAAATACACACTGAACAAGGAGGACACTTCCACCCCTTTGGGTGAAAGGGGGAAGAACAAATAAGGCAGACCTCACCTTCTCAAAGAACATGACCTCATACTCCACCGAGGTCCGGCTGCGCTGCCGTGGGGCAAGCCAAGAAACAGAAAGACTACTGTCATCTCTTTGCGTCAGGATAAACTGGGATACCGTCACTGGAGCTGCAGGGGAGGGAACAGAGGACATCAGGAAGAAATACAAACATAATGCAAATGAGGCCCTCTCTCCACCAGAAGCTCTCTTTTTCCTCCTTCGGTCACACCATGCAACTGGAACTGGCTCTCATCGCCACTGCCACTCCCTCGTCTTTCTCTTCTGCGGTAAAAGGGAAATGAGGTCTCCAGTTGTAACTAATTGCTTTCCGTGAATAGTATGCTTCCACCCCAACAGTGGAAGCATAACTTTCTTTGGCCCTCAAGACAAAATCAGTGTTCCAAGAAATTACGTTTAATCCAGCACTGCACTGCAAGTGTTCAATTTGAAATAAAAACGTTAGGATTGTATGCTCTTACAGCAGCAGTAACACAACTACCCTATGTGATTTATGAATGCAGCTCCATTTCATAAAGATACAGTGAAATCCAGTGCTCAAAATCTCTCAGCTGACTGCAAATGCATGCTGTTCATGAATAAAAAGATAATTCTCAACAGTCTGCAAAGACTGAAGAGTCAAGTCTGGTTCTCTCCTTGTCCTTCATTATCACCAGGAAGCAATGAGGCAAGTCAAAAGTAGCTTTGCTTTTCTAGCTCCGAGTTGTGCTGCTCCCGCATAGCGTCAGAAAGAAAAGTCGCATTTTATCACTAAATCAGAACTTGGGGAAAGCACCAAGGGCTGTTGAGCACTGCCATGTCACTTTTCTATAATCACGTTTCGCAGCACTCTGGAAAATGCTCACAGGACAGCCAAACTAGCCAGCTTGAAGCTAAACTACAGAAATGTGTCAAGAATTTCCATGTTTTTAACATACTAATTTCTCCATGCTTTCAAAGCTGGTTGTTTTTTTTTTCAGCTACAGCAGAGTTTCTGTTGTGTTTGGTCAGATTTTTTTGCAACATCTGAGTCATGGGAAATACATCCCACCACAGTCCCTGTTCTTCCTGTCACACAGGTAACAATACTTAGGCTGGACTGCACTAGCGTATGACAGGGAGGGCTTTATCCTCCTCACCTCTGTTAAGTCCTTGGTGAGTTCATAGCTCTTGGTGGGTAATGATTACTGCTGCTTTGACTTGCAAGGAATATGACTGGTGGACTTTACATGCCAGAGGCAGAGGTACCTTAGAGTCCTTATCATACCATACCAACACACGTGGCAGACAGAAGGAGAAGATGGAGAAAGCTTAAACATTCACAGAGATTCCTCTTCCTTTTCCTGATGAGCAGGAAGAACTTCTCTCTGCTTCTGCTAACCTGCATGTCCAACTGCGACCCACACAGCTGGAGCAGTTCTCTGTGGATCAGGTCCCATTCCTGAGACACCATTATGGGCTTCCACAGCAAATGTGTAGTTGGTGTAAGCTTCTAGGCCGTCCACGTCCACAGCAGGTTTAGTGAGACCAGAAGCACTGGGGGAGAATACCACTCCAGCCTCACACGGCTCACACGACAGGAACTGGCAGCGCTGACAGAAGACGGTGTAAGTCAGGTCCTTTCGCCCACCGTGGTCGCTGGGTGGCTGCCACCACAGACTCAACTGTGTGCCAATAAGGGAGAAGCTGACATTGCGGGGAGCTGAGGGGGGGCCTACAAGAAGCATGAAAGTAAGTATTAGATCCAGCTGTTAATACTCAAAGTACTGTGGCAGTTTCCCATCTGCTGATGCATTTTGAATGGAGCCCTCTGTCCCCCCAGCCTGTCCCTCTCTGATCTCTCATCCCCATTTCCCAACATTTTGTTTCCTCTCATCTCCTTGTTCACAGAATCACAGAATGATTTGGGCTGGGAAGGACCTTTAAAGATCATCTACTCCACCCCCCTGCCATGGGCAGGAACACCTTCCACTAGACCAGGTTGCTCAAAGCTCCATCCAACCTGGCCTTGAACAATTCTAAACACGAGGCATCCACAGCTTCTCTGAGCAACCTGCTCCAGTGCCTTACCACCCCCATTGTAAAAAATTTCTTCCATATGTCCCACCTAAATCTACTGTCTTACAGATTAAAACCACTGCCCCTTGTCCTGTCACTACAGGCCCTGGTAAAAAGTCTTTCTCCATCTTTCTTATAAGCTCCCTTTAAATATTGAAAGGCTGCAATAAGATCTTCCCAAAGCCTTCTCTTCTCCAGGTTGAACAACCCCAACTCTCTCAGCCTTTCTTCATTAGGAGAGGTGCTCCAGCCCTCGGATCGTTTTGGTGGCCCTCCTCTGGACCCAGTCTAACAGGTCCATGTCCTCCTTGTACTGAAGACTGCAGACCTGGATGCAGTACTGCAGGTGGGGTATTACCAGAGCAGAGTAGAGGGGCAGAATCATCTCCCTTGACTTGCTGGCCATGCTTCTTTTTATGCAGCCCAGGACACAATCAGCTTTCTGGGCTGCAAGCACACATTGCCAGCTCATGTCCAACTTTTTGCCCACCGGTATCCCTAAGTTTTTCTCTGTAGGACTGCTCTCAGTAAGTTCATCCCCCAGTCTGTATAGACGTTGTTCTTTCTATTTGCAACTCACGGGTGCAAGCAACGTTCTGGCCCTCTGAAGGTGCTCGGTAGAAGCCTGCATTGCAGGAACAAGATGTAGCCCCTGACTCATTGGACAAGCTGTTGGGGGGGCACTTCAGGCAGCGTTTAGTCTCCAGAGATTGACGGTAGAATCCTCGCTGGCAGGCTGTGAAGAGACAAACAAGTCAACATAAGATCAACAATAAACCAAGATCAAGAAGAAACCACCTGCCAGTTTTGTTCAACTTCTGGAACACTCCTTTATCTGCTTGCCTTTCTTCCATTTTCTTAGCTCACTGAAATATTTAGGTTGGAAGGGACCTCTGGAGGTCACCTAGTCCAACCATCTTCTCAGAAGAGAGAGAGATGAGATACAAATTCAAGGTAGGATCAATGCTATGACAGGACTTGTAGACTGAAGAAGGGGGATCTCATTCCTCACGGATGCTGTATGAAAACAGAAGCTGGTCAACCTCAGAGACTTCTTTCAACATAAACCCAGAATGCTCCCCACCTTGCCCTTCAAGCTTTCCAGATGATAAATAAGAGCTGTAAACACTAGATCCAAGTCCTTGTAATCCTCAGAGTCCTCTGCTTGCTGACTTCATATGGGATAGTCAGTGGGCTTTTCAGCAAAAGCATTTTTTCTGATTTCAGGCATCGTACCAGAGCATCACCCAGCAGGGCCCTGGGAGTGTCTGGATAACTATCGGTTTGCCTAACAGCATTGAGTGTAACTGGTTATGGAGCCACCACAGACTGCAAGAGATTAGGTGCCACGTGCTTTCTATTTCCAGTCCTACAAAAATAAGCAGCCACATCTTTCTCTAAATATAGAATCTGACACTCTGTTTTTGCTGCATTACTATTAGCTTGATCTACAGAAGCTCTGGTCTGTCTACCAGTTATCTCAAGATCAATGCTTTACCTCTATAGACGTGTAGCAATGAGAAAATGCGTGAGGGAGGCTGAAGTAAGCTGTGAATTTAATGGATTACCGGCCTACCTTAAATGAATCTATCAAATATTCTTAAACTAAAGAAACAAACAACCTATCACTAATCAGATAGTTGAGGAACGCATACACTGATTTTCTGCCACAGTGTCGTGGTTTAATCTCAGGTATGCGAGACAGAAAAGGCCTTGGTGCTGTGTAAGCTCTGCTCAGCAATAATGAAAACATTCCCACATTATCAACACTGTTTTCAGCACAAATCCAAAACATCGCTCCATACTAGCTACTATGAAGACAACTAACTCTATCCTAGCCAAAACCAGCACACACAGCTACCACCTTGCTTTTAACTTGAGCATTGAGGGAATGACCCTTTTCGTATTGCACTATAAAAGCAACAATATCCTGTGTAATCCCTCAGGAGATCCCAACGGAGATCCATTTGGGGATAGTGTGACAGTACACAGGCCAAAAGGATTTGCAGCAGTGAAGCCTGAAGAGCACAGAAAGGAGACATAATCAGAAGAAGTAGGAGCAACCAGCACCTTCCGATTTTGGGAAATAACAGAACCACTCAGGAAAGTCTGTCATTCTGAGCTACCATCATGCAACTACGTGGTCAATGATAGCAAAGGCTGTTGAAAGAATTAAAAGGCTCAAGCATTGATTGTCACTAGCTCAAAGAGATTCCATTTATATTCCAGACTCAATCATCTCCTTGAGAAATAGGCAAGAAAAATTACTTTGATCTCTAGGCTGCTCATGACTGAAAATGCTTCTACATGCTGGAGTGAAGATGAAAGCTTTGTGGTCTCCTGCCACTTTGCTCCAGCATAAGATTTCAAAATTCCTGACACTGGATCAGTTTGGGTCAGGAGAGCTTTGACGGCAACGTGAAAAACAAACGAAACGCAGGGCCGCAGACTTGTGTAACACAGAGGTTCTGATGTTCCCTGGATAATACTACCCACCATAAATATGGGATAATGTACACACCCTCTTATTATCAGGTTGAGAAAGTCATCAAGTAAATTAGGGAAATTTGGGGTTGGGGACCTTTGCAAGAACAGTTAGCTCCAACCTTGAGAGCCTCTGTTCCTCCGGGCCTGAGCTCCAGTGCCGCTCCAGCCCACAGTCCGCATCTGCTTCACCCACAAGTGGTGCCGAGATCCTTCCAGCAGGAGGGCCGCCTTGCAGGGCGACAGCACACCTTGGAAGGAGAGGGAGTGCAGGGAGGGAACCGCACAGGGGACATCTGGGTGAAGGAACAAACCCAGGAGGTAACCGGGCAGGCACCAGCCGGCTGAACCGGGTCACACCACCCGAGGCCGTGTCTGGATCAGCAAACGAAAGGGAGGCAGAGGTGCAGGCAGGAGCGCAGGCACCCAGCTGCCCGAACGACCCAGACGCCAGCACGGCCCCGGGTCG